GTTAGACTTCTGCAGACTTCACAGACCTCCATAGACCTTTGCAGAGACCCAGCCACTGTACCTGCCTGGGGCCCTGCCTCTAATGCCACCTGAAAAGAACACCACTGACCTGGGCCCAGAGTCTCAAAGTGCTATTGGCTGTTGACATATGCCAGCAGCTCACTAAGACCCGGAACACTGATTTCTCTGACGCCACCTCCTGGTGACTGGTGCTAACCAGCTCTACTGACCAGTACAGTTCAACAATGCTGACCAGTGACAAGCATGTGTCTGGTCACTTTTGAGAGCTGCCCAACACCTGATTGCCTGGCACCTCCTCCTCATGCCGTTGGGTCCAGCACTGTGCAATGCAGTGTCTGGTGCTGTTCAGCCTGGCCCAACTTGATGTGTCACTGCAGCAGCCCCACCTATGAGCACCTCCAGCGGTCACCTTGAGTTGAATCCTGGACCACTGCTTACCAGTGTGCCACTAGCTCCAAGACCTCATTGACTGGACAATGCCATCTTGCACAAGCAGCTTTTATTTGGGACCACTGGACACTGTGGACACTATCTGGGGGGAGACAGCTGGCCACGTGTGGCCATAGAAACTCGTTTCCTAATCTCCTGTTTGTTAAATAAACCCCGTTGTAGCTGCACCCGAGCCTGAGTGGCCTTGCAATTATCAGTACATGGGTGAGAACCCAGTGACCTGTCCCACACCTTTTGGCATTGCTTAAGTATCATTTGGCTTCAATATATCTTTATGTCAAGACTTAGGAAACTGAAAGCTCTAAGCTTACAGAAAACCAGAAACCTGTCCTCCCCAAAAGAATTAACAATTTTTACATCATTGATTCACTGTTCCTATCTATATAAAATAAACTCAAAATGTTGATGGTTGGAACAGTTCTCACAGAGTAAATTCTATTGGACTGTTTCCCAGCTTTAAATCCTCACTTTGACTAAAGACTCTAATTCAGACTTTTGTTTCAGTCAACATCTCTGTTCTTTTTAGTCCAAATGGATTGGTGTACCTCGCAAAATGGGACAAATCCACATCGACATTCCTTTAACTAAAAATATGCCATTTTTATGTATTTTGTCTCTGTCCCGTTTACTTCTCTGTAAGTGAAACATCCAGCAAACTCAAATATGAGCTCAAAAGCTGTGAGGCTCTGACCAAATTACTCTCTCTGCGCTTGTCTCTCCATTTTCTTGTGTCACTTGTGGATTAAATGAGGTAATGCGGGCCTCCCTAGGGGCGCAAGGGGTAAAGACCCAACCTATGGGGCTGTGTGCAGCCACTGCAGCACCCATTGGATCCCCAGCCACGGAGCTACCCACATGGCGCAGCAGACCTCTCCTGACTCCCCCGCTGCTCCCCTCAGCAGTGTATTTCAGTCAGTCTGCCTGTTCTGCTCCCCACTCTGTCTCTGGTGAATCCTCTCGCCCCCCACACCTCTGGCCTGTGCCCCAGTTCTTGTATGCACGAACAAATCTTTAAAAAAAAAAAAATAAACGAGGCAATGCACATGAAGCAGTGTCTAGCTCAGAGCGAGCATTCAACAAATGACTGCTCCTGTTTTTATTTGCATCTCATCAGCGCTGCCTCCCGGAGGGGGTCCTCTCTTTGACCGGGTCTCCTAAAGTTGGCTACTTTGCCGCCCTTTCCACCATTCAGGCCTCTTCCCGGGGCGCCCGCCCATGGGGGTGCTGGCGGCGGAGCAGGACGCAGACGGTGGCCGGCGCGCCGGGCCCCTCAGCGGCGAGGGGAAGCGCTCCCGAGCGGCGCCGCCGGCTGCAGTCCAGGCCAGCCCGTGGTGTCCCAGGCGCGCGCGGGGAGGGACAGCTCATTACAGGGGGCTTGGGGGCGCACGGGGTGGGGATGGAGTGGGGGGCCAGACAGCGCACCCCAACCACCGCGCGGGTCTGGGGGCAGCGAGGGGACCTGGGGCCAAGGAGGGCCCCGACTGCCGGCCACGCGCGGGTCGGGGTCCCGCCTCTCCGGGGCCTGAGCCCCAAGGAACGCGCGCCCAGGAGTGCCGAGCCCTCGGCCCGCCACAGCACCGCGGAGGCGCGGCTCCCGGGCAGCGCGCGCCCCGCGGAGGGAGGGGGCCCCGCCGGGCGCGCGGGGGTGGCTGGGAGCAGCGGGCGCGCGGGGGGAGCCGGGAACGCCGGGCGCGCGGCCTGTCGGCCCGGCGGCGCGGGGGGGCGGGGCGGCGCGGGGGCGGGGCGGGGCCGGCTTCCCAGGGCAGCTGATTGGTCGGCCCCTCGCGCCCGGCCGTGCTGCGCGTGGACCTGTGGCTTGGGCGGTGAGTCCGGGGTTCGCGCCTGGGCCCTGCTGGCTCGCGCGTGAGGCTGCGGCGCCGCTGGCCTTCCCTCCGCCGGCCCTGCGCCCCCGCTTCTCGAGGCGCCAGCGGACGGGCCGAGCCTGGCCCAGGGCTCCCCGGCGCGCGCGTCCTCTCCTCAGGGCGGGGCTGCAGGCGGGGACCCCTCAGGGCTGGGCGAGGGGACCCCTCGGGACTGGGGCAGGGGACCCCTCGGTGCTGCGGGCAGGGGACCCCTCGGGGCTGGGGCAGGGGACCCCTCGGGGCTGGGCGAGGGGACCCCTCAGGGCTGGGGCAGGGGACCCCTCGGTGCTGCGGGCGGGGACCCCTCGGGGCTGGGGCAGGGGACCCCTCGGGGCTGCAGGCGGGGACCCCTCGGGGCCGGGGGAGGGGACCCCTCGGTGCTGCGGGCGGGGACCCCTCGGGGCTGGGCGAGGGGACCCCTCAGGGCTGGGGCAGGGGACCCCTCGGGGCTGCGGGCAGGGGACCCCTCGGGGCTGGGGCAGGGGACCCCTCGGGGCTGGGCGAGGGGACCCCTCGGGGCTGGGGCAGGGGACCCCTCGGGGCTGGGGCAGGGGACCCCTCGGTGCTGCGGGCGGGGACCCCTCGGGGCTGGGGCAGGGGATCCCTCGGGGCTGGGCGAGGGGACCCCGAGCCTGGGGGAGGGGACCCCTGGGGCTGCAGGCCAGGACCCCGCGGGCCGGGGAAGGGGAGGGCGGGTCGCGCGCGTGTAACTGACGCCACCCCGGGAGAGGCGGTGCGGAGACTACCGGGACCCCGCCTGGGGGCGCAGGTAGAACCCCTGAACGGCGTGGGGGGCGCAGGCAGGGGCCCACGAGGCCGCGACCCGGGGCCGGGGGGCATGAGGCGGAGTCCGGGAGGAGGAGGCCAGGGCGCCGGCCGGGGCGACGGCGAGGGGCTGGGAGGCTCGGGAACGGGGAGTTGGTGGCGGGTGGGGACCCCCGGAGGTGACACCCCGGGTTGGTGGTGCCCTCCGACGAGTGGCCCGAGGCCGGGAGCCGGCCATAAAGGAAGGCCAGAGGGATCCGCCTCCGTGCCCAGGACATCAGTTTAAAGGATTTTGTGATGCACGCTAAGATAAAGCAAGTTAAAGCCTAATAAATGTCCTCTGGGTTTGGTCATTACTTTGATAAACGAAGACGTAATCAATTAAAAAAATGTATTGTTAAGTATTCAAACTTACCCAAGAGTGCAGAAAAATACAGAAAGTAGCTTAGCATTATGGATCCCAAGTACTCATCGCCCAGCTTCAACCAGAATGAACACCCTGGTCGCATTACAAGTATTTTTTTTTTTAATTTTTTTTTGGTACAGTCAGAAGCACGGGAGGGTGAGAGAATTCACCAGAGCCAGAGCGGGGAGCAGAGCAGGCAGAAGGACCAAGGTACACTGCTGAGGGGAGCAGCGGGCGGCCGGAGAGGTCTGCGCGCCATGTGGGACCCTCCTCCAGTGGCCGGGGAGCAGCCGGGGATCGAACCGGCGCTGCAGAGGCCGCGGGCAGCTTCGCAACCCAGCGCTCAACCGCTGCGCCACCGGGGAGGCCCACATTACAAGTATTTTAAGGCACACCTCAAGTTCCCACTGATAATACGTTGGTTGAGCTTATGTAAAAAAAAAAAATAGTTGCCTGGCCTCCTTGGTGGCACAAGGGGTTAAGCACTGCACTATGAAGCAGCCTCTGCAGCACAAGTTCCATCCCCGGCTGGCCAGGGAGCTACCCACATGGTGCAAAGACCCCTCCTGTCTTGCCTGCTGCTCCCTTCAGCAGTGTATTTTGCTCAGTCTGCCTGTACTGCTCCCCACTCTATCTCTGTTGAGTCCTCTCACCCCCCATATCTGGCCTGTACCCCAGCTCTTGTATGCATAAAAAATCTTTAAAAACAAAAATAGTTGCTTTCATGTTTAGTGGATATAGCAGTTCCATTTTGCCAGATGAAGAATTCTGGAGATTGGTTGCATGACAATATGAATGTACTGAGCAGTACTGAATTGTACACTTCAAAATGATTAAGATGGTAAATTTTATGTCATGAGCTTTTAACCACAATTTAAAAAATTTATTTAGAAAAAAAAAAAAGTGCTGCAAATTAAGATAAAAATCTGACTCCAGGTATTGGATGAAGTAACTCATCACCAAGTAGAGGCCTAAGGAATTCTGTTTTTAACTGTGGAAGCTTTGAAATGAACCAGTTGATTGTGGTGCTTAGAGCACTGGGCCCAGGCCTGGACCAGTGGTGTCCTCTGCTCTATACTGGAACTGAAGAGTTTGGTCAGTGCCGCTGTATTATATTTCCCCCAAATATTCCTGTTGTAACACAGTCTGGGGCACACCTTTACTTTTTTTTTTTTTTTAAAGATTTATTTATGCATACAAGAACTAGGGTACAGGCCAGAGGTGTGAGGGTGTGAGGATTCACTAGAGACAGAGCAGGGAGCAGACAGGCAGAAGGACTGAAATACACTGCTGAGGGGAGCAGCGGGAGAGACAGGAGAGGTCTGCTGTGCCATGTGGGTAGCTCCCTGGCCAGGGGGTCAAACTCATGCTGCAGTGGCTACCAATAGCTTGATAGCACTGTCTTTAAACCCTGCGCCACCAGGGAGGCCCCTGCACCTTTAAATCTTGGGTGAGCTCCTCTACCACCTCCTACCTTCATTCATAAGAGGGCAAGTGAAGAGTGAAGTCATCTCCTCCACTTCTCCATGTCCATTCTTTAGGGCCCAGCTAGGTAGTTATTTCCTTTATGACACCTACTTCCTGTTTCCTAAATGTCCCAGGTGTCAATCCTTCACACTCCTGGAGAAGCTGGTGGTAACTGCTGGGCAGCCTTCCACATTTTAGTTCCTTTCCAAGTTGAGTAGGTAACCCTGGAACCTTACTTCGGCCCACAACAAAGCATGCCAACTATATAAGATGAGAAAGTAACTGCCAATTTTGGGTTTTTGGCTCCTCTTGTCTTCCTCCAGGAGCCCCCAGAGCCAGCATTTTCAAAACATGTTATTAGGGGATTTGTAGCGGCAGGAAGGGCATAGGGCAGGATCTCTTGTGACTATGCAGACGGGTGAAGGAGAGTCCTGGAGCCTTCAGTGGCTTTTTCAGGCTTTTAAATTGTCATTTTACCAGGTACAAGGCAAGCAGGGGTGCTGGGGGCCCAGGAGGCTGGCAGGCCTCCCAGCCCCTGGCGTGTCTTCACTCTTTCTGAGTTCTGTGGCATCCTCTCATGGTCTCTATTTCTCTTTCTTCTGCTGATTCCATTCCGCACTCTCGCTGGTTCTTCTGGTCCTCTTCTGCTCTTATCTTCTCTTTCTTCTGGAGCCCTTATGGCCCACTCTCAGCCCAGTGTACCTGCCTGTGCATGCCCACACCCCAATCCAGGTGCCTGCCATCAGGCATGCACTCAGGACAGCAGGGATCCAGCATCCATCCTGATGTTGGGAGGGCAGAAAAGCCTGATAATCGTTTACCCTACAGGATTCAACAACCAATTAGATTAAACTCGCATTAAAAAGATATATTTGTTATTGAGTATTGGCTATTTAGCACTATTCAGGAAAAAATCAGATGCTTGAGCATGATACAGGGCAGCAAGGGGCACTAAAACTGGCCAAGGACACTGTCCAAATAGTTTACCAGTCACTGTCTGAGTTCTTCACCCAAGTGCAAAATTGCAAGACCACTCAGGTTCAAAGAACAACAATAATGGATTTATTTTAAAAACTAGAGTAAGCAAAGAGTCACTGAGGCCACATATGGCCATTTACCTCACCCCAAGCAAAGTCCTAAGCACAAAGGCTCCCAAGATGACATCTTCCCACTACTGCGGGCCTGAAGCATGTGGCAGCCAGACTCTAGGCCGGTATCCAACTCACAAAGACACCAGAAGACACAACAGGAGATGCTCACCGGAGCTGCTGAGATGCCCCTGCGCAGCACCAGACAGGTGACACTCAAAACAGCAGCTGCAGCAGCTGAACGACCTGAGAAAAGCCCACACTCACGTAGCTCAGAGAGGTGCCCGGCTCTGGGTCTTTGCCTTCTCATGCAGGCTGTAACAGCAGGAAATCTGGGAACAGTTTCCGTTGCTTGGCTACCTGTAAAGCCTCTGAACTCTTCTCTGAGGTTGGCTGCTGGAAGCCTCTCCATGTCCTTCAGAGGCCAGCAACAGCCTTCAGGAAGATCAGCATGGTGGGGACTGACCCCAGAATCACTAAAAATCCAAAAGTGCTGAAATCCCGAAAGCTGAATCCCCTGGGGCTGCTTCTGCAGTCCCTTATATTTCTTTTTTTTTTTTTAAAGATTTATTTATTTATGCATACAAGAGCTGGGGTACAGGCCAGAGGTGTGGGGGGTGAGAGGATCCACCAGAGACAGAGCGGGGAACAGAACAGGCAGACTGACTGAAGTACACTGCTGAGGGGAACAGCGGGCGAGTCAGGAGCAGCTGCACCATGTGGGTTGCTGCCTGGCCGGCCCGAGGATCAAACTCGTGCTGCAGTGGCTGCAAACAGCTTCATAGGCTGTCTGCTTCATATTTAAGTTTTCTAGATTCCTGCTATGAGTGAGACCATGTGGTATTTTTCTTTTTCTTTCTGGCTTATTTCGCTGAGCATGATCCCTTCCAGCTCCATCCATGTTGCTGCAAATTGCATGTGTTTATCTTTTTTGAATGCTGAGTAATATTCCATTGTGTATATGGACCACATCTTCTTGATCCAGTCATCTATTTTTGGGCATTTGGGTTGTTTCGAAAGCTTAGCTATTGTAAATAGTGCTGCTATAAACATAGGGGTGCAGGTGCGCTTTGGAATTGATGTTTCTGTGTCCTTTGGGTAAATACCTAGGAGTGGAATTGCTGGATCATATGGAAGCTCTATGTTTAGTCCCATCCATGTTTAGTTGGTATTTCCCCTGGGGCTAGCCATCCTCACCAGCACCCACCTCCAGGGGGTGCCACCTGTAAGTCTTTGGCTTCAGCCTCTGGTTACATTCCCATAACTGGATGTAGATGATGGTAAGAAGGAACAATTTCTGCTGCTGGATAACAGAACAAAGTTAGGTTCAATTATAAGGTGAACTTTCTTAGTGATTAATGGTTAGTTTTATGTCTATATCAAAATGATCATTATTGAAATATTTGCAAGAGGAATATTGCTCATATATAATTCATTTACTCTTTAACTTCCTTTTTCCCCATGGAAGCAGATGTGATTTTGGATAAAGTGAGGTTTTTTGGGGAATGTAGCCATCATGTTAAATCATAACTGCCTATACACAGGAGGTTATATGAAATGAATGAACCATTTTCTTATGTTTTCATTTGTAGGAAAAATGGAAGAGCTGAGTCAAGCCCTGGCTAGTAGCTTTTCTGTGTCTCAAGATCTGAACAGCACAGCTGCCCCACACCCCCGCCTGTCCCAGTACAAGTCCAAGTACAGCTCCTTGGAGCAGAGTGAACGGCGCCGCCGTTTACTGGAACTGCAGAAATCGTAAGGGAATCTTTAACTCCTTGGTTTCTTTCTCCAGGCTGGGAGCTGTGAACCATTCAGGAAGATTTTGGCTTGTCTTTATGGAAACCCTTCAAAGTAGGGTCTTTTAAAGTTAATCTTTTTTAAAAAAAAAAAAGATTTATTTATTTATATAAGAACCAGAGTACAGGCCAGATGTGCGGGAAGGTGAGAGGATTCACCAGAGACAGAGTGGGGGTGGGGAACAGAACAGGCAGACTGAGGGGAGCAGCGGGCGAGACAGGAGAGGTCTGCAGCGCCATGTGGGATTCTCGCCTGCTGGCGGGGATCGAACCCACGCTGCAGAGGCTGCGGACAGCTTCACAGCTCAGTACTCAACTGCCTGCGCCACCAGGGAGGCCCAAGGTTAATCTTGGAGAGGGGTAAATCACGGCAGTAGACATTCTTTATACTCAGAGCTTATGAAAAGATGAGAAAGTAGGGAGACTGAAGTTTGAAAGCAAAAGCTCAGTTATTTGGTTAAGTTTTTCCTTCTTTCCTGGCAGAGGTACTGAGCTTTGCAACTTAGGGACTTGTGAAAGCTACGCCCAGATTTCCACTCCCCATATTCCCTGTGTGGCTTCTGAACTCTAAATCCTGGCCTTGGTGTGGTCTTCCTGTCTGCCTTCAGCCCAGATGTTTCTGTGCAGCCCTTGGGAGTTTAAAACAGATAATTCCACAGAGAATCTATATGGAAATGTCTTCCATACACTTCACTCTAAATGTCAAGATGAGCAAATGGGAAAAAGCAGCAGGAGTGTTTGAAAGCTGAGCTGTTGGAAGGCAGGGCCCATCCTTTTACTGTCTGTGAAATATGGCTCTCTTTTGGGTAATAAATTAAGGAATTAGGGATTAGGTGACACTATTAACAGCTGCACGTTTTCCACATAGTCTGTGTTTTGCCCAGTGCTGGGCAGGTTTCCCTGAGGTGCTTGGATTGCTTGCAGGTTACATTCTCAGTTCACTCCCCTCTAACCCACCCCCCACCACAGTTTTTAAAAATTATAATTAAGGCCTCCATGGTGACCTACAGGTTTAGTCTCAGCGCTGTCACTGCTACAGCCTGAGTTTGATCCCTGCCCAGGGAAATGACCCACATACAGCGCAGCAGACCTCTCCTGTCGCGCCCGCTGCTCCCCTCAGCAGTGTATTTCAGTAGATCTGCCTGTTCTGCTCCCCAGTCTGTCTCTGTTGGATCCTCTCACCCCCTGAATCTACACAAAAATAAATAAATAAAACCTATTTTAAAATAAATAAAATTTCAATTACTTTGGAACAGGTAATACATTCATGTGGTTCAGAATTCAAAATATATGAGTATATGGTGAAATCTCCCTATTCTGCCCTCTAGCCATCCAGTTCCTCTCTCATATTATTAGTTTCTTATGTATCCTTCCAAAGATCTGTGCAGATTTGAGCAAGTGTGTGTTATATGTGTACATGCTTTTTTTTTTTTTAACACAAGTAGCAGTGAACTATGTGTTCTACCTATTTGTTTGACAGTACTTTTTAGAGCAATTTTCTGTCAATTCGTGTAGTGCTGTCTCATTCTTTTTTTTAATGGTGCCAGGCAGTCCATGGCGTAGATAGGTCATGAGGTAATCTAACCAGTCCCCTGCTGATGGGCATCTGGGTAGTTTCTTCCTTTTGAGGTTACTAACAGTGCTTGGGAAATAACCCTGGACATGCATCCTTTCACACGTGTACAAGTGTACCAGTTCGCCTTTCTCATGAAACAAAAGATGTGCTTGCATACACGCTCTTGGTGCACATCTTAGTGTGAAGGTGTATGAACTTGTGTGCCCTGAAAAGTACCATCCATGTTGGTGTCCTTGGTGGTGGTTCTCTTGCCTTTGCACTGAGGAAATCAACTGTTGGAGGTTAAATGGTATCTAAGAATCCTTTTGCAAACAATCAGTTTCCAGAATATTCCTTTTCTTCCTTTTCAATTTCTCAAATTTTCTAGAATGTCATTTTTTTAAAAAGGATATTAAATCATTAACTAAGTGGCTTTTTGGGAAAATTTGACGGGAATTGGAGGAAGGCCTGACTACTCCTCAGAAAGCTGTAGAAAGTGGAAAGTCCCAGAAGTTGTCCTTGTTTTTTTTTTTTTTTTTTTTTTTTATAGAGGCATGTTTTATTTATTTATTTATTTGTTTGTTTGTTTTGTTTATGCATGCACTGGGTACAGTCAGAAGCGCGGGAGGGTGAGAGAATTCACCAGAGCCAGAGCAGGGAGCAGAGCAGGCAGAAGGACCGAAGTACACTGCTGAGGGGAGCAGCGGGCGGCAGGAGAGGTCTGCGCGCCATGCGGGACCCTCCTCTGGTGGCTGGGGAGCAGCCGGGAATCGAACCGGCGCTGCAGAGGCTGCGGGCAGCTTCGCAACCCAGCGCTCAACCGCTGCGCCACCGGGGAGGCCCAAGTTGTCCTTGTTTTAATTGCTTGCGTGTATCTGTTTCCTCTCCTTAATCCCCAAGGGTCTTTGGACTAGATGTCTTCTAGGCAGGGAAGTGTTGACTCTCACCTGGGGGAGTGGGATGAACTAGAGGGGGCCTGGGGTCAGCTTTTCTGGCCAGGAAACCTTGGAAATTCCTTTAAATGTTTTACTTTGCCTATTCCTAGGAAATTCTGAGAAGGCTGATTGTGTTCAGAGGGGGCTTCTCATTTGGGATCTGTAACGAAGCAGTCACTAGCTTAGTCTGACCAAGGAAATAACTTTTTTAAAAAAAAAAAAGATTTATTTATTTATGCATACAAGAGCTGGGGTACAGGCCAGAGATGTGGGGAGGTGGGAGAGAGGATTCACCAGAGACAGAGTGGGGAACAGGCAGACTGATGAAATGCACTGCTGAGGGGAGCAGCGGGCAAGTCAGGAGAGATCTGCTGCACCATGTGGGTTGCTCCCTGGCCTGGCCGGGGGATCGAACTCATGCTGCAGAGGCTGAGGCTTGCTTCATAGTGCGGTGCTCAACCCCTTGTGCCACCAGGGAGGCCCCAATATCTATTTTTTTTAACAAAGGAAATTCTATCATCTTTTACTCCCACCAGAATCCCCAGATTGCTCCTGAATTTGGAGCCTTTGAATTAAATTGAATTGTCAAATTGTAGGGTACCTTCCTATAAAGTGAAAAAACCTGTTCTTATGCCTTTTCTTTCTCCAGCAAACGGCTAGATTATGTGAACCATGCCAGAAGACTGGCTGAAGATGACTGGACAGGGATGGAGAGTGAGGAAGAAGAAGATAAAAAGGATGATGAAGAAATGGACATTGATGCTGGCAAGAAATTACCAAAACGCTATGCTAATCAAGTGAGTAGTCCAGAGAAGATTAGGCCCAGCTAGTCCCTCTCCCTTCACTGAGTGGTTAAAGTACAGCCAAAGCTCTTTACTTGTCATGGAGGAGGAGGGGAGTGGAAGAAAGAAAAGGAGCTGCAAAGGAAATGTGGGTGCATGTAAAGTTTATAGGGAAAAAAAGGGGTAACTTACAGTGCCATGTGCTGACTGGGGATCACTGATGTAGTCTGTGAGAAGTGGATTTGGGGACCATTACCCCATGCTGTTGCCAAACGCTGCCAACCTGCTGCAGGAAGCTCCCGAGCTATTGTAATACTAACAGACACCTGCCCGTGTCATTTCTTTAATAGTCATTGTACAGTCGTTTTGGATTGGGCTGCATGGTCCCACCCCCTCCCAGGTTGGTCTTTTCCAAGCAGTGAACGAAGATTCCAGTCTCAGATCTTCACACTCACATGGTGGGAGGCAGGGAGATTACAGTTGGATTATAGGGAACCTGCTATCCACCCCAAGCCAGACAGCTAGCCTAAGTAAGGCCGAGGTCGTAAAATAGCACATCATTGTAACAGACTTGACTAAATGCCCTGTTGGTTCAAGAGAGGAAAAGGGTGTGACTTGTGGCTTTTTAGGGGAGGCAGACATGGAGACGGAGACCAGCTTGGCCTCCAGTCAGTCCAGGCATTCCCAAAGGCAGGGTCTGGGCCCAGGACAGGGAGAAGTGGGCATCTACCCTACTATTACGGATTTCTCTCTACCCAAGTGTTTTTTGTTTGTTTTTTAACTTACTTACTTATGCATGCAAGAACTGGGGTATAGACCAGAGGTATGGTAGGTAAGAGGATTCACCAGAGACAGAGTGGGGAGCAGAACAGATGGATCCACTGAAACACACTGCTGAGGGGAGCAGTGGATGAGACAGGAAAGGTCTGCTGCGCCATGTGGCTAGCTCCCTGGCCAGGGATAGCACAGTGGCTGGCAATAGCTTGATAGTGCTGTGTATTTAACCCCTGCACCACCAGGGAGGCCTCTACCCATGTGTCTTATTACCTCAGAAGCATCTCCTTTTCAGATGTGGTTCCCAGATTCACACACTCTATCCCCTTTCTCTGGCCCTAAATCCAGCACAGATAGCATCCTCTGTGACAAAGTACAAGTCATTTCTGCCCAGCAAGCATTACTGAAGGATCTGTTCTGTGTTAAGCTAGGCTATGCTTGGTCCAGAAATAGCCCCTGCATTCCTGGAATAAGTGTAGATTATGGTTTTTGTTATAAGAACGTGAGATTAACTTCCAGTGCGGGGAAAGTGGGGTTGTGAGATCAGAAAAAGACAGCTTTGATGCATGAGCAGGGCAGAGGTGCGGGCATTCCACAGTGCAGGAGCAGGCTGGTAGGAGCCCAGAATCCCCGGAGGAGTATGTGGTGTGTTCAGAAGAGGAGGCAAGCCAGTGATGATGGACAGCACTGGCCTGGGCAAAGCTGTACGGCAGAAATGCTTGCAGAGCTTTAGACTGATTGGGTTGCAGGGAACCACCAGCAATTTTTGAGTCAGGAACAGAGTTGGGACTTTGTGTGGTGACTCCCATACTGGTGTGTAGAAGGGCCAGGAAGAAAGACTACAGTATGCAGCTGAGGTTTGCTCCCTGATGATAGGTGCCAAGATAGTGACGGTGAGCAGCCAAACAGTGTGTGTGAGAAATGTTGCCAGGTCGAATGGACAGAATTTAGCAGTGACTTGGAGAGGAGTATAAGTGGTTAAGAGGATCTGTGTTGATCATGAGCACCTTCCTTAGCCCCTCTTAAGTCTCTGGTTTCTTATCTGTAAAATGAGACCTAGTATAGTGCTTATCCCATAGGATTGTTAAACAATTAAAAGATAGTGTGCCTGAAATACATAGCCTGGAACATATAATAAATGTCCTGTAATATCAGTTGCTACTACTGTTTTTTTAAACAGCCATATTGAGATATAATTCATGGGCCGTACAACTTATCCATTTACAGCATACAATTTAATGGGTTTCCTTAGTATAGTCACAGAGCTGTGCAACCATCCTCAGTATCTAATTCCAGAACATTTTCATCATCCTAAGAGGAAACCTCGTACCCATTAGCAGTTGTCACTCCCCGTCCCCAACCCCTAACCAATGCTAATCTGCTTTTGTTCTGGATTTGCCTATTCGGGACACGTCCTATAATGGAATTATACAAGATGTGTCCTTTTGTATTTGCTTCTTTCACTTTGGATAAAGCTTTAATGTTTCATTTGTAGCATGTGTAGGAACTTCATCCTTTCTATTGCCAAACATTTTTATATGCATAGCACGTTTTGTTAATCCAGTCATCAGTAGATGGCCTTTTGAGTTGTTTCCATGTGGGGGGAGCTAATATGAACAATGCAGCTATCAGCATCCATTTACAGTTTTCTATGTGGATATGACATTTGCATTCCGCCTGGGTGTCTACCTAGGAGTGGAATTACTAGGTGATATGCTAAGTCTATGCTTAATCTTTTGAGAACTTCCAGGAAGTTTTCCAAAGCAATTCTACCATTTTATTTTCCCACCAGTAACATGATGCTTTCAGTTTCTCCACATCTTTGCAGTACTTGTTATGTCCTTTCTTTCCAGTACAGCCATCCTCCAGTACAGCCATCCTAGAGGGTGTGGTGTGGCATCTCCTGGTTTAGATTTGCATTTCCCTAATGATGATTGACATGGACCTTTTTTTCATGTGCTCATTAGTCGTTTGTCTATCTTTGGAGAAATGTCTATTCAAGTCTTTGGTCCATTTTTTAAAAAAGAGTTTATTTTTATGTAGAAGAACTGGAGTACAGGCCCGAGGTGAGGGGATGAAAGGATTCACCAGAGACAGAGTGGGGAGCAGAACAGGCAGATCTACTGAAATACACTGCTGAGGGGAGCAGCAGATGCGGCAGGTGAGGTCTGCTGCACCATGAGGGTCACCTCCTTTGGTCAGGGATCGAACTCGTGCTGCAGCGGCTGCTGGATAGCATCATAGTGCTGCGACTTAGCCCCTTGCACCACCAGGGAGGCCAAAATAGTCCATTTTTTTAATTGGTTGTCTTTTATTATTGAGTTGTAAGAGTTCTTTATATATTCTAGATACAAGTCTCTTGTCAGATACATGATTTGCAAGTATTTTCCCCCATTTTGTGGAGTTGTCTTTCTTGATGATATCGTTGCAGCAGACATTTTCAATATCGATATAGTATAATGTATCAGTTATTTTTTTGTCACTTGTGCTTTTGGCGATGAATATCACTAATGTTCTTTAAAAGAGGTTGGTTGTTAAGCCTTGGGTTTAAGATTCAGTAACAGGGCCTCCCCGGTGGTGCTGCGGTTGAGCACTGGGCTGCAAAGCTGCCTGCAGCCAATGCAGCGCCGGTTCTATCCCTGGCCGCCAGGTAAGGGTCCCACATGGCGCACAGACCTCTCCTGCCATCCGCTGCTCCCCTCAGCAGTGTACTTCGTCAGTCTGCCTGTTCTGCTCTCCGCTCTGGCTCTGGTGAATTCTCTCACACTCCTGGGTTTCTGACTGTGCTTGTATAAATAAATAAATAAATCTTAAAAAAAAAAAAAAGATTCAGTAACAGAGAAAACAGTATTTCCGTTATTCATGATACGGAATACAGAAGGCAAATGGTGGGAGTTTCAGGGATGCAACGAACTTAGGCAGCAGAGGCAATGAGTTTTACTGCAGATATGCTGAGTTTAAGGTACAGAAAGGACAGGACATACCAGGTAGATAACTGGAATGTGGGTATAGAGCAAAGAAGATGAAAAATAAAGAGGCATCCTCAGAAGTGACATATGAAGTTGCAGAGGGAGATGAGATTGACCACCAGAGGGGACCTAAATCATCTCCTGGAATTTTACCTACAAGTTTTGGGGCAGTGTGTGGAGGAAGGTTTGGAGGCAGAAACGGAATAATACTATGTCATGGGACCACAGGAACGTGCCTCAAGGAGCAGGCTGTGACTGGCAGCATCTCTGGGGAATGGAGTGGGGAGCATAAGGGAGGCCAAGGGAAGAGAAAGACTTGGTAGTGAGAAGCTCTGATGGCCTTTAGCAGGACTGTGGGGTGGTATTCTGGTGTGAGCCTGCAGCAGGAGCGGGAAGGTGGCGTTAAGAAATGTGAAGTAGGGCCTCCCCGGTGGCGCCGCGGTTGAGCGCTGGGTTGCGAAGCTGCCCGCGGCCTCTGCGGCGCCGGTTCGATCCCCGGCTGCTCCCCGGCCACCAGAGGAGGGTCCCACATGGCTCGCAGACCTCTCCTGCCGCCCTCTGCTCCCCTCAGCAGTGTACTTCGGTCCTTCTGCCTGCTCTGCTCCCCGCTCTGGCTCTGGTGAATTCTCTCACCCTCCCGCGATTCTGACTGTACCCAGTGCATGTATAAACAAAAAAAACCAAAGAAAGAAAGAAAGAAAGAAAGAGAGAAAGAAAACATGCCTCTATATAAAAAAAAAAAGAAAGAAAGATGAAGTACAGGGCCTCCCTGGTGGCTCAAGGGGTTAAGCACCGCACTGTGAAGCAATCCGCAGCCAGTGAAGCATGAGTTTTCCCCACCAGGGAGCTACCCACATGGCGCAGCAGACCTCTCCTGTCTCCTGTCTCATCCACTGCTCCCCTCAGCAGTGTGTTTCTGTCAGTCTGCCTGTTCTGTTCCCCGCTTTGTCTCTGGTGAATCCTCTCACCCCCACATCTCTGGCCTATACCCCAGTTCTTGTATGCATAAATAAATAAATCTTTAAATAGAGAAATGTGACGTACATTTAAATAGAGAAATGTGGGCCTCCCCAGTGGCGCAGTGGTTGAGCGCTGGGTTGCGAAGCTGCCCTTGGACTCTGCAGCACCGGTTCAATCCCCGGCTGCTCCCCGGCCACCAGAGGAGGGTCCCGCATGGCGCGCAGACCTCTCCTGCCGCCCGCTGCTCCCCTCAGCAGTGTACTTCGGTCCTTCTGCCTGCTCTGCTCCCTGCTCTGGCTCTGTTGAATTCTCTCACCCTCCCGCGTTTCTGACTGTACCCAGTGCATGTATAAACAAAAACAAACAAATAAATAAACAAACAAATAAAACATGCCTCTATATAAAAAAAACATAAAAAAAAAAAAATAGAGAAATGTGAGGTAGCATAGCTTAACAGAAATGCAGAGTGAGGAGGTGTGTGTGTGTGTGTGTGTGTGTATGTGTGTATAGATATATCTTTTTTAAAGATTTATGTGTAGACGAACTGGGGTGTAAGCCAGAGGTGGGGGCGGGGCGAGAGGATTCACCAGAGACAGATTGTGGACAGACCAGGCATATTAACTGAAATACACTGCTGAGGGGAGCAGCGGGCGAGACAGGAGAGGTCTGCTGAGCCATGTGGGTAGCTCCCTGGCAGGGGATCAAACTCAGGCCACAGCGGAGAGAGTGCTGAGACCTAACTCCTACCCCACCAGGGAGGCCCATGGAGGGGTACATTTTTTCATGCTGAAGATAATGTGTTGGGTGTTTCTTTAGCTAAGGGGAAGGACAGATGAGCTAGGCCACAGTTTTGACAGGAGGAACTATGAACAGATGAGCTGACCTTTTCAAATTTATTTCACCACAACCCCCACTGTTTTTTCTTGAAGAACATTTCCTCATATCCTTTAGTACAGCATTTGGGTTACCAGTGTGGGAAATGGTGATGTAGTCTAAAAGCCTCTCAAGGTCAAGGGCCTTATTTCTTTATCTTTGAGCTAGAACCCCTAGAATGGTAGGTGGTGGACACAGTAAAGAGAGGAAGAGAGTCTCATCACCCAGATCAGGAGGTGAAGTAGTAAGAATGGGTATGCATGCAGGTAACACTAAAGGTGAGGAAAGGAGGTGAAATTCAGGGAGTGGGGGCCTCCCCGGTGGCGCAGCAGGTTGAGCACAGCGCTGTGAAGCTGTCGGCAGCCTCTGCAGCGCTGTTTCGATTCCCAGGCCGGCCAGGGAGAAACCCACATGGCGCAGCAGACCTCTCCTGTCTGGCCCGCTGCTCCCCTCAGCAGTGTATTTCAGTCAGTCTGCCTGTTCTGTTCCCTGCTCTGTCTCTGGTGAATCCTCTCACCCCCCGCACCTCTGACCTGTACCCCAGCTCTTGTATAAAAATAAATAAATCTTAAAAAAAAAAAAAAAAAAAATTCTGGGCCTCCCCGGTGGCGCAGCGGTTGAGCGCTGGGTTGCGAAGCTGCCCGCGGCCTCTGCGGCGCCGGTTCGATCCCCGGCTGCTCCCCAGCCACCGGAGGAGGGTCCCACATGGCGTGCAGACCTCTCCTGCTGCCCGCTGCTCCCCTCAGCAGTGTACTTCGGTCCTTCTGCCTGCTCTGCTCCCCGCTCTGGCTCTGGTGAATTCTCTCACCCTCCCATGCTTCTGACTGTACCCAGTGCATGTAAAAACAAAATAAACAAATAAAATAAATAAATAAAACATGCCTCTATAAAAAAAAAAAAAATTCAGCAAGTGGGCGTCCATCCCATCAGGTGAGCAGGAGACAGAGCAAGGGGGTGGTGTCTTACTGTCAGGCTTGCCATGGTTCTTCTACCTGACTTCATCAAGGTGTAGGATGTGAATTCTGTCATCGTGAACAGCAGAGCACAGCCCCCTGTGGATTTTAACACCGGTTCTTATGCTTCCAGTTGATGCTCTCTGAGTGGCTAATTGATGTGCCTTCAGATTTGGGGCAGGAATGGATTGTGGTCGTGTGCCCTGTTGGGAAAAGAGCCCTGATTGTGGCCTCCAGGGTGAGTAACTGCCTGCTGTCCCTGCTCTGTAGCGGGAGGGTCCCCTTGCATGCCATCGTCCTTACCCACCACTCAGCTGTATCCAGCTGGGAAATGAGCAGCTTTTCTGCAAGAGGGGTTGGTGAAGAGCCATCTCTGGGCTGATGATGCTTTTACAGATGGTAGAAACGAGAGGACTGGAGGCCTTGCTGCCTAATGAGAATTGCTACTGTCTTTCCCTGCAGGGTTCTACCAGTGCCTACACCAAGAGTGGCTACTGTGTCAATAGGTTCTCTTCCCTCCTGCCTGGAGGCAACAGGCGAAACTCAACTACAGCAAAAGGTACTTACACATAATTGTCTCTTGAGTCTTTTAATCAAAAAACAACAGTGTAAATTGCTTGGTTAGTTGTTTGAAAGTTCCACCTTGACCACATATCTTAGTTTGTTTAAATTTATTTATGCATAGAAGAACAGGGGTATGTGGAGGGAGAAGGGGGATGGGAGGATTCACCAGAGACAGAGCAGGGAGCACAACAGGATTAACTGAAATACACTGCTAAGGGGAGCAGTGGGCGGGACAGGAGAGGTCTGCTGTGCCATATATGGGTTAGCTTCCTGGCCAGTGGTGAACTCAGGCTGTTGGGTTGATAGCGCTCAGACATAACCCCTAGGCCACCAGAGAAACCCCAGAATGCATATCTTTGAATCTGCACAGACGTAGTCCTGCCCACTGGACTCAGGCCCTCTTCTTTAAAGTGAGGCCTCCTTACTTGTAGAATAGATGGCACCCCATGGGGCCTACTGGGTAATAAAACCGTAAATTAAGGTCAACATTACCAGGTGACAGGTGCAACTTTTGGGATTAGTCCCTCACAGAGCCAAGTGTGAGTGTAATATGCTGTTGCAGGGGCTTCCCTCCCAAACCCCTAATTCCTTTTGACTTAGCGTCCTTGCCACTCCTGCGCCACCCGGGCCCAGCCTGAGAAGATGGAGATCCTGGAGGTTAAGTAACCTGCCATGGTCCTTTAATGAGGAAGATGCCCAAACCCTATAGTGCACTCTTCCCTGCTGCCCAACCTCCCCTGGTAGCTCCTCGGGTCCTCGCACTGCACCCGGATTTTTCTCTTGGCTCTAAGACCCTTCACAGGTGGGCTTTGGCCCACTCATCCACTTGTCTTTTTCCTATGACCATGCCTGAACTTCAGTTTGCTCAACTGGCTTGCCTCCTTGCTTCTGACAGCTGTCAGTTCATTCTCCCTTTGGGCCTTTGTGCATGCCACATAAAGCGCTGACCCGAGATGCCCTCCTACCTCCCCGCTGCCCTGTGGTTTGAATCCTCTGATCCCAGAAGACTGTTCATATCCCATCTCTTCCATGAAGCTTTTCCTGCTGCTCCAGTCTCCATTTTCTCTTAGTTTGTGCTGTCTCATTCTGTTGGTTGAATGAGCTGTTGGTTCTGTCCTCTGTGATAATCTTATCTCCCTAACTGGACTGTAACTTCCTTAAAGGCAGGGACTTCTTATAAGTATTCTCTACAGAGCACAGTACCTATGATAGGAACTTGGAAAAGGTCCTCGAGTCACACTCTTCAAGTTCATTTCATTATAACATTTTTGAAGAAAGAAATAATCCCAGCCAGGGGCCTCGCTGGTGGCACGGGGGGTTAAGTCTAAGCACTGTGAAGCGATCAGCAGCCGCTGCAGCACAAGTTCAATCCTAAGTCAGGGAGCTGACCCATGTGGCGCAGCAGACCTCTCCTGTCTTGCCCGCTGCTCCCCTCAGCAGTGTATTTCAGTCAATCTAACTGTTCTGTTCCCCACTCTGCCTGGTGAATCCTCTCACCACCCGACACCTCCTGCCTCTACCTCAGCTCTTGTATGCAAAAATAAATAAATCTTTTTTTTTTTTTTTTTAAGGATTTATTTATTTATTTATACAAGCACTGGGTACAGTCAGAAGCGCAGGAGGGTGAGAGAATTCACCAGAGCCAGAGCGGGGAGCAGAGCAGGCAGAAGGACCGAAGTACACTGCTGAGGGGAGCAGCGGGCGGCAGGAGAGGTCTGCGCGCCATGTGGGACCCTCCTCCGGTGGCCGGGGAGCAGCCAGGGATAGAACCGGTGCTGCAGAGGCTGCGGCCAGCTTCGCAATCCAGCGGTCAACCGCTGCGCCACCGGGGAAGCCCAATAAATCTTTTTTTTTAAGATTTATTTGTTTATGCATGCAAGAACTGGGGTACAGGCCAGAGGTGCAGGGATGGGAGTGGGGACTCACCAGAGACAGAGCGGGGAGCAGAACAGGCAGACTGACTGAAATACACTGCTGAGGGGAGCAGTGGATGAGACAGGAGAGGTCTGCTACGCCATGTGGGTCAGCTCCCTGATCCAGGATCTAACTTGTGCTGCAGTAGTGTAACTGCGGATTGTTTCACGGTGCTGAGTGAGTGCTGATGTTTAACCTCTTGCACCATCAGGGAGGCCCCTAAATAAATCTTTAAAAAAAAAATCCCAGCCAATGTTGAATGAAATGATACTATTCAAGGACCTGATTTCATTGTGTCCTTTGTTTAAAGTCTCCATTTGCAAGAACCTATTGACAATATTAAGTGAGACTGATTTCCTGTAGTTGTAAATGAAAATGGAAGGTTTTCCAACTTGAATTTCAGAACTCCCACTTGGCTTAGGGTTGCCTGGATCCATCTTGTGCTTGTCTACCTCAGGTTGCCCTCAGCTGCACCAGGTAACCCAAAAGGGCTGTGAAGAACCTTTCCCTTAATTAATCCCTATTCCTTAGTGCTGATGCTTGCTGAGCATGAGGATTGTTGGATTCCGTTCCCAAACCCCTAAGAGAGGGTTGCCTAGGTTGTGGTAGAGGAGCCCCTGATTGAGGGCAATCCTGTGCTGACTTTCTGTGTTGTGCCCCCAGACTACACCATTCTGGACTGTATCTATAGTGAGGTAAACCAGACTTACTATGTTCTGGATGTGATGTGCTGGCGGGGACACCCTTTTTATGACTGCCAGGTAAGGATCAATACTCCCTCACATCTCGTCTTCTCGACTTTTCACTTCTCCTCCCGGGAAGGTGGCTCAGCATGTGGGTTTGGTACGTCACCACTTCTTGGTATGCACAGGATGTGGTATATCAAGAAAATTATCTAATGTTCCTTGCATCTTTGAGTGTGTTTAAATTAGCTTCCTTTTAAGAAAGAAGTAGGAGGAAATTAAGGGAAGGCTTGCAGGGGAGGAAAGAGAAACAGAGCAGGGCCTTGCTGGTGAAGCACCACACTATGAAGCAATCTGCAGTCTCTGCAGCACGAGTTCGATCCCCGGCTAGGGAGCAACCCACATAGCGCAGCAGACCTCTCCTGACTCACCCGCTGCTCCCCTCAGCAGTGTATTTCAGTCAGTCTGCCTGTTCTGTTCCTCACTCTGTCTCTGGTGAATCCTCTCGCCCTGCCCCACCCATACTCCCCACACCTCTGGCCTGTACCCCAGCCCTTGCATGCATAAAAATAAATAAATCTTAAAAAAAAAAAAAAAAAAGGGCCTCCCCTGATGGTGCAGTGATTGAGTGCTGGGCTGCGAGGCTGCCCGCAGCCTCTGCAGCGCCGGTTCTGTTCCCTGGCCGCCTGCGAGGGTCCCACAAAAAAATAAAAGAAAAAAAGAAAAAGCAGCTTGAACCCTTGATGCTCAAGGCATCAAGGCAACCTTTATAAAAAAGAGAGAGAGAAACAGAGCAGAGGGGTAGGCTGGGACTGTGTTGAAGCTATACTGGTCCCTTCCCCTGTCTCCAGAGTGTGGGACGATTGCTGGTATGGAAGGTTGTGGGCCAGGACCACTTTGCAGGTGGCACAAGGAAGAGAAGGGGGCATGCAAGCACCCCCAAATAGATTCCTGTCACCACCACTCGGTCCCCAACCACATCCTGACTCTGAGAATGGCAGGGCTGCATTGGTACAACCTGCAGCCTCCTATTTCTGAGGTACCGGCTCTGAAAGGAGCTTCTCCCAGTAAGGGGAGGCTTCACTATCCCCCTCAATGTTGGTCAACCGCGGGTGTAACTTGGAAACCACGTTGGACACCAACGTTGGGCCCCAATACAAAATGGGGTGCCTGACTGTGGGTCCTCACCCGCGGGCATAAAAGGACTTATTAATACTCCACTGCAGGCACACACGAAAGGTTAATAAAAGGTTTATTCACAAGGGAAGGGGAAATGAGGAAATGTACAACTCAGGGAGAAAAGTGGGAGATAAAGTCTTAAATGCATCCTACCCGGTCCGCTGATCTGGAATCCCAAATGGCACTCTGAGAGCTGGCCACGAGCCAGGAGCCGTGACGCCAGGAAGCGAGAGAACCCCCAAGGCCCATGTGCTGGTTTTTATGCCAAACCTGGCTGCTTAACTCCATCCTCAGGTCCCAGCCACCTTCCCTCTGGTGGTGATGGGATTTGTCTCTCCCAATGTCCTGATGGCTTTGGTCTGGAGCCGGGGTGGGGTCCACAAAGCCTGTATGGAATTAGCTCAGGACATCCTTTCCCCCCAACAATTTTAGTACAGTAGCAGTCATCAGAGCTAGACTTGGTAGCCCCACAGGCTCAGTCCCTGTTTCTAATGCCTCCCCATCATTGTCAGTTTTATAGGGTTGCATTTTTTGTGCTTCCTGTCAATGCATTTATCATGGTGGTTCTCAGTGTGTGGCCTCAGAAAGTTGTCAAAGCCCTGCCATTCTTGGTGGTCTGTCAAAATACTCGGACCTACTGAATCTGAAACTACGGGGATGGGACTTAGGTTTTAACAAGCCTCCAGGGGAATCTTCATGCAGGCCCAAGTATGCGAATCAAAGGCTGTCACTGCAGGCTGCTGCTTTCCATCGCCATTAGCCCAGGTAGCTTTCCAGGTCATGCTAGGTTAGAATACTTCAGGATTCTAACACGCATCTGATTGTGGGTCTGCTACTCCTAGGCAGTCTATTCGGCCACCATTTTGTCAACTAAACAAGGTCAAAATGGCCCGGCCAGTTAGGTATAGGAATTCAACTCTTCAGCCCTTCAAATCAAACAAGAGCACAAAGCTGGATCACACTGGGAAGGTTATGCATCAGGAGGTGTGTCTGGAATGCCCCGGGGGGCTGAGGACCGATGTCTGACAAGGGACCCCAGAAGCTGATCAGTCGATTGCCTTGTTGATAAGATTAGAACCATGGTTGGGGATTAGGGTGTGTCATCAAGTAGATGAGAAGTGCCTGGAGGGCAGACTCACAATCCCTAATCTTTTATACCCTTCCCCTTTCTTTAATCTCCTTCCCCTTAATCTCCTTTTGTTCCTCCCTCTTACAACCAATACAGTGTGTCAATAAAAGCGCCAGGATCTTGCTTTTCAGCAGCATCCTGTAATTATGTAGCCTGCTCCATGACTCCCGTTTTTTTATCAGTGTGGTGTTGTTCAATGCAACATCTGATAACAACAATAATAGACAAGATTGGCATTGCAAGCAGTTTGTGAGCATGTCTCATTGAATTCCTGACAACAAATCTGTAAGGCAGTCACTGCTAATCTTCCTGGTCACATGGACAGGGAGGAAGAGGGCCACTCATGTTAAGTATCTTGCCCGTGTGTGAAGCCAAGCCTGAACTAGAACTTGTAAATTCAGTCCAGACATATTTTCCTTTAATTCGTTGAAGGAGTTCATAACATGTACTCACCACCTATAGTTTTGGTGACTAAAGCCACTTACATTTTTATAATTCAAAGAAAAGACTTTTTGTTTTGGTTATTTTTTATTTCCAAATGCAAAATAATTAAGAAGAAAGGGTCCTCCATGTACTGGGTACATGACAGTAGTTCAGAGACTAATGTAGTTAATGAAAAATTATGACAATATACTAGTGTCTGAGCTCTGGATTAAAATAAAACAAAAATTAATATAATGTGCTTCAGAGTTGGAGAGTCTTGGGTCCCACAGTATTTTCTTTTTTAAAAAGATTTATTTATGCATACAAGAGCTAGGGTACAGGCCAGAAGTGTGGGGGTGAGAGGATTCACCAGAGTGGGGTGGCAGAACAGGCAGGCAGACTGACTGAAATACACTGCTGAGGGGAGCAGCGGCCGAGTCAGGAGAGGTCTGCCGCGCCATGTGGGTTGCTCCCTGGCTGGCCAGAGATGGAACTCATGCTGCAGAGGCTGCGGATTGCTTAACAGCGCGGTGCTTAACCCCTTGCGCCACCAAGGAGGCCCCCACAGTATTTTCTGTATAAACTTGGGCAAGTGACATAAGCACTGTGAGCCTCAGAGTCCTCATCTAAAAATGGAGATAATGATACCCCAGCTCTAGAAGGTGCTTGAGCGTTAGTGAAATGGTGTGTGTGGAAGTGTTAGCATGGTGCCTGGCATGTAGCACGCCTTCCATGATAAGTGTTGGCTCTGCTGGTATTAGTAGTCCTATTAGATTTTAAGGGAAAAAAATTCAAGATTTTGTAAACAGTGTTTTAAGGAAAGTGAGGAGACTGCTGGAAGGACTTAGGTCTTTATGACTCAGATGTCTGTTTCGAAGGGGTGCTTTATTCGTGTTGTAGCTTGAGAGGAGCAGTAGTTCATCTCTCTCTTATCTCTGGGGCAGACTGATTTCCGATTCTACTGGATGCATTCAAAGTTGCCAGAAGAAGAAGGACTGGGAGAGAAAACCAAGCTCAACCCGGTAAGGCCTGTTGGGGTCACAGGCTTGTTTCTGCGGGTTATTTCGATTGGTCTGTTATCTACATGTCATCACCACGAATGGCATTCTCTTATCGAGGCCCTATGATGTGATGGGAAAAGAATGGGCTTGCCAGTCATCGGCTCTGAATTCTAGTTTAGGCTTTAACAATCACCAGGTTAATCCCCTCATGTGGCCTTCGTTCCTTCAGCTGAATAATAAGACTAATAACACCCACTTTACAGTGTTGTTCCTAGAACTAGAAGACATAAATAGCAAGTTCTCCTAGCATAATACTTAAGGCAGGCACTCAATAAATAGTGGTTGATACAAAATGCTAGTAACTGATTTTATTAGTGGCTATTTAGAATTCTAGTACAGCAGTTCTCAAGCTGTAGCATGCATACATAGCCCCTGGAGGCTTGGTAAAGAGACTCCTGAACCCTTCCCCAGAGTTTCTGACTCATTGGTGTAGGATGAAGCCTGAGAATTTGCACTTCTTTTTTTTTTTAAGATTCTTTTTTTAAAGATCTATTTATTTATGCATATAAGAACTGTGGTACAGGCCAGAGGTGTGGGGGTTGAGAGGATTCACCAGAGACAGAGTGGGGAACAGAACAAGCAGACTAACTGAAATACACTGCTGAGGGGAGCAGCAGGCGAGTCAGGAGAGGTCTGCTGTGCCATGTGGGTAGCTCTCTGGCTGGCCAGGGATTGAACATGTGCTGCAGTGGTTGCGGACAACCTCATAGGTTGCATCTTAACCCCTTGCACTACCAGGGAGGCCCTTAAGATTTATTTTTATTTATGGCCTCCCTGATGGCGCAAGGGGTTAAGTCTAAGCACTGTCAGGCTATCGCCAGCCACTGAAACATGGGTTCGATCCCCAGCCAAGGAGCTGACCCACGTGGCGGAGCAGACCTCTCCTGTCTTGCCTGCTGCTATCACCCCCACACACACACCACTGGCCTGCACCCCAGTTCTTGTATGCATATTTATTTTTATTTATGCATACAAGAAATGGGGTGTAGGCCAGAGGTGCGAGGTGGGGGTTCAGAGGATTCACCAGAGACAGTGGGGAGCAGAACAGGCGGATCTACTGAAATACACTGCTGAACAGCTGTGAGACAGGAGAGGTCTGCTGCACCATGTGGGTTAGCTCCCTGGGCGGGATTCGAACTCATGCCACTGTGACTGGCGATAGCTTGACAGGGCTGAGACTTTAACCCCTGTGCCACCAGGGAGGCCCCAGAATGTGCATTTCTAAGGAGGTCCCCTGAGAGCTTGAGAACCTGTGCTGCTCTGTATCTGAGCTGAGCATGACCTCATCTTACATTTTACAGATGGGCTCAGAGGGGCTGCCTTCCCAAGATCTCATAGTCCAGCACAGCAGCCCAAGTATCTTGGCAGTCTGCTCAATGATTTAATTATGTGACAACTATTTTCAGAACATGTTATTAACCCTATAGACCAGTGTGTGCTTGGGTTGGCTTACCCATTGTTTAAAATGCAATGGGTAACCAGTTCCAGAACAATAAATGGGGTCAGTGCTTCCGGTGATGTCAACAAGCGTGTGCGGTGAGGAAAGGGACAGGGGAGCTGCTCTCTCTCAGATACCGTTCCTGTGCTCGGCATATTGTCTTACTGAGTCCCCATAGCCACCCTGTGGGTAGATACTCTTATTATCCTCTTTTACAGATGGGAGAGCTGAGACATAGAGATTAAATGATTGGCAGAGTGGGGGTTCAGACCCAGGCGATCTAACTGTAGAGTTTGTAGTTCTGACCTTGTCATTAGGGGTAACCGTGACATACCTAAACCTGCCAGGGGACAATGATACTTAGTCCTGACTGCACTGAAAATCAACTGGAGTGCCTCCCCTGGTGGCGCAGGTGGTTGAGCGCCACGCTGTGAAGCTGCCTGCAGCCTCTGCAGTGCCGGTTCGATCCCGGCCGCCGGCGAGGGCCCCACATGGCGCAGCAGACCTCTCCTGTCTCGCCCGCTGCTCCCCTCGGCAGTGTATTTCAGTCCATCTGCCTGTTCTGTTCCCCGCTCTGTCTCTGGTGGATCCTCTCACCCTCCCGTGCATCTGGTCTGTACCCCGGATCTTGTATAAATAAATAAATAAGTCTTTAATAACAAAAGAAAAGAAAATCAACTGGAGAATTTCAGAAAATGCCTAGGCACCGCCCTAGACCAATTCAGTCAGAATCTTGGGGTGGGACCTGGGCATCAGCAAATTTTGAGAGTTCTCTAGATGATCCTCGTGCATAAAGCTAGGCTGAGAACCACTCACCTCATAAATCAAAGGGCAAGTGGAAGGAGACAGAGGAATGGGTGAGACTGAAAGCTTTTCTCCTTTGATGCTGCCTTGCCATTGCTGGAACCTATGTTATTTGCAATATGCTAATTCTGTTCTCATTTACATTTTAGTTTAAATTTGTTGGCCTGAAGAATTTCCCTTGTACCCCTGAGAGCCTGTGTAAGGTGCTATCTATGGATTTCCCTTTTGAGGTAATAAAAACATTGTCTTGATTGCTCACATGTCTTGCAGGACGCAGGGAATCTTCAGTACAAGACTTTTAAGATCACCTTGGCTTTGCTGTGTGCAAGAGTTAGCAAAGGGCTGACAGCTGACTCCTAGGAGAGGTTGTGCTCACTGCCCTCAGCTCCATTTGTTGACTGAGTCAGAGCCCGCAAGCTGGAAGGGCAGCTCATCTCACACCCTCATTTTACAGATGGAGAAACTGAGGCTCATAGAGTCCTGTCCTTCCTCTCTCTGTCCTAGGTGCCTGTTTCTGCTACAAGCCTGAGACATAGGCCAGGTGTTTGATGGTCACCGCTGCAAAGGGGCTTCTAAGACTGACACCCTCAGGGGTGTGAACTCCTAATCCTTCCTTCCTCCAAGAGCACTGGTCCCTGGGGGCGGGTGGAGTAGGGCAGCCAGCTCTGTGTTGAGTTTAGCATAGGAAGTCTCAGCACCCCTGGGCCCCTCCACCTAGCACAGCAAACTTGCCTTGGCCAGCATAATCCCTTTACTGCCTAGACACTCCCCAAGTATCTGCTTGAGCTGAGTATAATTTTGCTAAAAGGATCACCACTTCCCAAAAGAGGAAATGGCAAAGGCCGAGTTGCCTTCATTTCTGGGAGTCAATTAGGAAGGTGGTAAGAACACCATCTTTATTTATAACCCTATGCCCCAGTGACAATAAAGGCTTTTTAGAGATGAGTCACGGAGAAGAAAATGTGGGACTGCAGGAGGCCTTCCCGTTGAGAAAAACTGAGTTTCCCAGAACATAGCTTGGGACCAATATAGGTTTAGGCAGCCAGCAGTGGCTTGGGGAGCAGGACTTCCTGACAGCCTGTTTTTCCCCTGTGCTCAGCAGCCCAGCCTGCGGGCGGGCCTGTCCACTTCCCTGGCTTTGTTCCCCCAGTGGAGCACATCCTCACTGCAGAGGCCTCGGGGTGGGGGCAAGTGCATGGGGACAGAAGCTGGTTCACGTTCATGTTCAGCTTCATGCTTACTCTGTTTTTATTTTCTTTTTTAAGATTTTTATTTATACACATAAGAGCTGGGGCACAGGCCAGAGATGTGTGGGGGGTGAGAGGATTCACCAGAGACAGAGTGGGGAACAGAACAGGCAGACTGGCTGAAACACACTGCTGAGGGGAGCAGCGGGCCAGACAGGAGAGGTCTGCTTCGCCATGTGGGTTGCTCTCTGGCCGGCCGGGGATCAGACTTGTGCAGCAGGCTGTGGATTGCTTCATAGTGTGGTGCTCAACCCCCTGTGCCACCAGGGAGGCCCCTTACTCTGTTTTTAGAGACAGCTCTAGAACTCCCTGAGCCCGAGGTCTCAAACAGCTTCATGGTGGGTAAGAGGGTGAGACAATGGATAGAAAAACATCCAGTAGACAGGAAAATGAGTTTACGTTTTTGTTTTCTGAAATTTCTTTTTCTAGGCCACTACTTCATTTAGAGAAGTTGCACATGTGCAAAACAAGGACTCCTTATCTTTTGGCAGTGACCCAGAAAGAGGAGTTGGATCCCAGAGCTGCCCTGTGCATATAGTCTCTGGAAACTGGGGGCCCCAGAGTCATTGACTTTCTCATTCCTCCTGCAGGTGGATGGCCTGCTCTTCTACCACAAGCAGACCCACTACAGCCCAGGGAGCACTCCTCTGGTGGGCTGGCTGCGCCCCTACATGGTGTCAGATGTTCTCGGTGTGGCTGTGCCTACTGGCCCACTGACCACCAAGCCAGAATACGCTGGGCACCAGCTGCAGCAGATTATTGAGCACAAGAGGAGCCAGAAGGAGGGCACAAGAGAGAAACTCACACACAAGGCCTCTGAGAATGGACACTACGAGTTGGAGCACCTGTCCACCCCCAAATTGAAGAGCCCTTCCCAGAACCCCGACCACCCTGGAAGCCTCATGGAGAACTGAGGGCTGCCTCCTTCTGGAGCTGCAGGGCGGTGCTCGACCCCAGTAGGAAGGCTGGGGAGGAGGACAGTGCTAAGAGCAGATGACTACATTTTAGAGTGGACTTCCCGAAGCCACTGCAGCTGGAGGTAGCTTACCTCCTATGTGAAAGGCTGGCTCGAACGGTTGGGGGAGGTGCCCAGATTGGGTGGGATTCAGATTTGGGCAGCAACTGCTGTGAAAAGTGTATCCCAGACCCGCCATGTAAATACATGTAATTCTTACCAAGAGAGAAGTTGTTTGTGATTCTTAAACCTCAGAGTCTTGAATCTCCCTGCACCCCCGCCCTATGGCCACCCAAACCAGGACTGTTAGGTCTTGGCCCATTTCACAGTTTTTAGCACTTAAGCATTCTGAGTTTCCAGTTGCTGCTGTTGGTAACGTCATTTTCTAAAAGGTCTTACCAGGAACTGCAATTCTTGGTATTTGAATATGTTCCCTCTTCTGAGAAGACAAGTGTGATTTTCTCTGGTTTAGACACTGCCAGAGATAAAATGCAAATGGGGCTCATTCACTATTTGCACAAACCTTTGAGTGCCTTCCGGGGGGGTATGGTTATATCTGTAATGGCTGCTGTGATGTAGACTGGGTTATGCAGGTGGACAGGACTCAATCCTTGCCTGCTCACCATCTAGTGAGAAAATAAACCCCATGGCATAAGAGTACCTCAAGATGGTGAGATGATGGCTTTAGAGCAGGCAGTGCCCAGAGTCCTGGCGGCCAGGGAAGGGCAGAAGGAGGTTCCACAGACATCAGAGTCTAGTTGCTGCTAGCAGAGGGGGCAGGAGCATGCTGTATGGACCAGGAGTGGGGAGTATGCAGGTGGAGAGTATGCAGTGCTCCCCCCTCCAGAGCAGGGCAGGATTAGCCTGGCTCAAGTGCCAACTAAGATTGGAGAGCTATGGGAAAGGAAGCTGGAGGTGGGCCTGATGATGGGGGTGGGGGGTATGGTGCGGCTGTGTGTTAAGCAGAGGTTTTAGATTTTATGCCATGGGTGAAAGGGAGCCAGTCTTTGGCACCTGTGAGACTAGGAGATGGTGCCTAAAACAGATCAGTTCCTTTCTGCTCTGTGTTCAGGCATGTGTCCATTTCCTCTGGCCTCACCCTGTTCTCCACACCGCCTTCCACTTTCCCAAGTCTTGTCTTGTTAGACAAAAGGACTTCACGATTTCACTGCTGCAGTACTAGTGTCCTGTCGACAAAACTGCAAGGGCTCCAAGTCAGATCCTGTCTGACATGCAATTGTTCCTTTGTGTTGATTCGTTCTGGGAACAGATCCGGGCAGAAGTTGTGGTTAAGGGGAGCCTGATTATACAAATTCAGCACACCAGTGGGACTCGCCTCAGTGCTGGACTCTCAGAGAGCTGTTCAAGCTGACTCTGTAAAATCAGAGAAGGAAGAAACCTCCCGCCCCCACGCCCCATGCTGACCCTGCTGGCTGCAGATTTAAGATGCACACCTCAGTAAGCTCGCTCCTGAATTTAGGTCAATTCTGCAATAGGAACATCATGGGTTTTTTGCCATGAAGCATGTAGTAGGCTGCCTAGAAGGTTAGTTTTATTTGATGATGTTTTGAACGCTCTAGTCTATGTTCTCATCAGTCAACGAGCATTTCAGCAGCTCTGCATGCTAGTAACAGGAGAGAACTGACGAGGCTCTGCCCAGAAATTATCAGGTCTAGGACTACTTCCCCAAAGATGCATGCGTCAAAGAACATATTAGCCAGAATTATCACCGTGTAACTTGGTGCAGTTAAATGTAGCTGGAAGGATGTGTCTCAGAGGAAGGCCCCTGGTAATTTTAAGCCAGAAGCCAGTATTCTGGATCACCCAACAGATTGTCTCCTAGTCATATTTCTTGAATTATAAAATCACCTCCTGTCACCTGTTTCCAAGATGGTGTGTTGTAGGTTGCTATGACTGGTTGCTAGTTCTCTCACCACCCTTCTGAATAGCTCCCAGTTTCTTTTTGTGTGGAATTACCTCTTCTCCATGCAATATGATTTGTTGGGACTATAATCTAGGGGGAACACCCTCCCTTAGCCAAGTGTCGGGTTTATGACTCAAGATGTGCCAATTACATATTCTTCACCAGAATTAGTGTCTAGAGTAGAGGAACAAAAGAGTGAATCAATTGGAATTTATTTATTTTGCATGTGAGGGTGTTTCTTTGCCCTATCATGAAATCTGTGAGCACCCAATCTATTTCAGCATGCTTAAAGTAGCCAAAGCTGATTTCTGGACTCAGAACCAGACTCCTAAGTAATACCGCTGCTCCGTGCGGCATGCTTACCTTGGCTGGAGGGCCAGTTTGGCATAAGTTAGCAAAGAACTACTAGTTGAAATCACTTTTAACTCAAGTGCCATTGTAACCCAGGCACCAAGAAAAGACCAGGCTATTTTTTAAAAAGGATTTATTTATTTATGCACACAAGAACTGGGGTATAAGCCAGAGGTGCAGGGGGTGAGAGGATTCACCAGAGAGTGGGCAGCAGAACAGGCAGACTGACTGAAATACACTGCTGAGGGGAGCAGCGGACGAGACAGGAGAGGTCTGCTGCGCCACGTGGGTAGCTCCCTTTTTGGGGATGGAACTCTTGCTGCAGTGGCTGTGGATACCTTCATAGTGCTGCGTCTTAACCCCTTGCACCACCAGGAACCCCCCCACCCCACCGTCTTGAATCTTTACTACACAGTTCCTCTATTAGATTGCAAGCTCTTGGAGGTGAAGAATCTGGTCCTATTTACCTTTAGAGCCCCAAGTCTAGAACTTGTATTGAAAAACGTTGGTTAAGTGAGTGAAGCAAGGAGCTGCAATAAGAGTACAGTCTGGAGGAGAACCCCCCTCTCTGCTGCAGGGAAGTGACCCTGAAGAGGAGGTGGCATGGAGGTGTGGCTGTCCTCTAACAGGTGGTTGGAGAGGCTGCAGACTTCTAAGAATGAGAACTATATTTAGTTCTGTGAACAGGATAAAAGGTTAGCCTAAAGTCTTCTCCCTGCATATACTAGAGAAGGGAAAAGGTGTTCCCAGCGAGAGACTTCCTTTCTAATAAGGAAATGAATGAAAACCCCACAGTATATATTTTTAAGCAAGTGTGGTCTTTTGTTTCATATCTTCTGATATGTAGGACAGGAAAAGTAGACAAAAACCTTGAGGTTTTAGCCTGAGAATGACTTCTTGCTCTGGTAAGACAGGCTGCGTTTTGAGTTGCATCTTGTCTGAGAATTCTGATTCTAGCCAATCTTTACATCAAAGAGGAACCAGATTAAGTTTTCCATCTTGTTTGCTCACCAAGTGCTTCAAGGTTTGGTCTTGGGCATTGGTTTGGTTGTGACTCACATCCTCCCCCCAGCTCCTCAGACAACCCATCATCCAGGGACAAGGTGGAAGTGAGGGGCCTGGGCAGCGTGGAGTAGTGATGGTGGATGTGGAGTGGTCTCAGGCAGCAAATAGCTGCTGGAGGGATCAGGGCCTCTAGGACTTGTGCCTTCATCTCTCACATCCATTCCAAGTGATGGGGGTTGTTTTGAAAAGTTGATTTTTGTGTTTGTTTAGAGGCAGAGAAGCAGCCTGAGGCAGTTTGGAAAACTGGGAGATGAGCCTCACTATTGGACCCAGCCCTGCTGCATTCTTCCCATCTTGGGGGACTGTGTGGGGTTGGAAGAGTTAACACTTAAAACCCTGAGAGCTCTTCTGGCTAGGGCAATGCACAGACAATTAGCATTTGTAGAAAAATTCCTCCCTTCCTGCCTCTCTTGCAGGCTGGCAGTCGGTAAGCCTTCTGGCTCTTCCTTTGCTTTTGCTCTACAGTCAGAGTGGGGAAAGGAAAAATGGAACTCAAATCTGTCAGTGCTGCTTTTCACTAGCAACTTTAGTTCTTAAAGACTTTATTTATTTTTGCATGGAAGCACTGGGGTGTAGACCAGAGGTGTGGGGCTGGGGTGGGGTTGGCGGGGTGGATCCACTGAAATACACTGCTGAGGGGAGCAGCCGGCGAGACAGGAGAGGTCTGCTCGCCATGTGGGTAGCTCCCTGGCCAGGATTGAACTCATTCTGCAGTGGCTGCAGATAGCTTGATAGCACTGTCTTTAACCCCTGCGCCACCAGGGAGGCGCTTATATTACCTTAAAAAGAAAAAAGGATAGTAATAAGAATCAGTTCCTACAGGAGTGGATAATGGGGGAAATGTAATCTACACGGGATGAGATTTTTCATTTTCCTTAAAGAGTTCACCTTCAGTCATCCTAGAATTATAGATTTGTTCTATGAGTGAAAAACAAAAATTGTCACCCTAGACATTGGTTAGCTGTATGACCCTATTATTCCTGCCTGTCTTTTGGGGAAAAAAAAAAAGACAATAAGATGTTGCCTTTTTATGTTATCTTTTATCTCTAAGGCATGTCTCTTTCACAGGTAATAGATAATTTGGAGCAATGTTTGAGAGGGACTTGGATTTTATTTTATTTTTTAAAGATTTATTTATTATGCATGCAAGAACTGGGGTACAGGTCAGAGGTGTGGGAGGTCAGAGGATTCACCAGAGACAGAATAAGGAACAGAACAGGCCGATAAACCAAAGTACACTGCTGAGGGGAGCAACAAGTGTCAGGAGAGGTCTGCTGCGCCATGTGGGTAGCTCCCCAGCCAGGGATCAAACTCACACAGCTGAGGCTGCGGACAGCTTCACAGCCTGTGCTCAACCCCTTGTGCCACCAGGGAGGCCTAACTTCGGATATTAGAACTTTTTTAGGAAAGATGTTTTTAGATGTTTTTAGAAAAGGTTATAAAATTTCAATAACAGCTTTGGAAGCATCTCTATTCTTAGACCTGAACAAATACACACACACACACACACACACACACACATATTTTAATGTATTTATGGAGACTTTTTAAAATCTTTTTTTAAAAAAATGTTTATTTACTGGGGCCTCCCTGGGTTAAGCCCAGCACTGTGAAGCAATCCGCAGCCTGTACAGCATGAGTTTGATCCCTGGCTGGCCAGGGAGCTGACCCACGTGACGCAGCAGACCTCTCCTGTCTTGTCCACTGCTCCCCTCAGCAGTGTATTTCAGTTGGTCAGCCTGTTCTGTTCCCCACTCTGGTGAATTCTCTCCCCCCCACCACCTCTGGCCTGTACCCCAGTTCTTGTATGCATAAATAAATCTTTAAAAAAACAAAAGAACAATCTTTTTAAAAAATAAAAATAAAATGTTTATT